CAGCGTTGATAGTAAGGAAAAGAAAATATTTGTCAAGTCGCTTTACTCAAAATCTATCGGGAAGCCATTTTTTTCCATTTCTTTTTTATTTCAATTGCACAGCAGTACTGAAAATCTTTCTATTCAGGTTTTGTAGCTACCGAAAACAGCGGCTTTGTACAATTTTGTATGTGATATTTTATTTCCGAACTATCGTAATGATTATTAAATTGTATCTGCTAACTAGTTTTTCAACATAAAAAATATTTTCTGCGTTTTCTATCAGTCTGAAAAAAGTTATAATTGAGTGCCTGTTTCATGGAAATGTTAAAAAAAAAAAAAAGGTTATTGATTTCGCAATTTTATAACTGATTAACTGACTTAGAAGTTTTAACACTTTTTTAAAGCAAATATATATTGTTTAGTTTATAAATTTTTTTTTAACTGACATATTAAATGTCCTATTCTAGAAAAACTCTGAATTCATTGTAACACATTATTGGGTTGCTTGTTTGCTTAATCTATAATTTTCTTGATTACAAGAAATACGAAGAAATACAAAATCGGAATCAAATTTATTCTGTTTAAAAATTATTCTTAATCAGAAATTCTGTCTTAATAATTCTGTCCAAAATAGTTTTAATTATCACGTAAACTATTCTAATCATATAAATTAGTAGGGTACATACCATGTGGTTGGTTCTAACTTTAACTTCATAGTTAAACTTTTTGATAAAAATGTAAAATAAATAAATAGATAAAATAAATAAATAAATTATTTATACTTTTTAAACTTTTATTTGACCTGGGTAAGGCATTGAACCCATGTCCAAGAGGTAGTAACTTCGATTTCCTTCGGCCGGATTCCCCTGTTGTAAATTGTAGTTGGTGCACGTTAAATCTGTCAAGTCACGTTAAGTCCTCCAAGTTCCCATAACAACTCTTACCTCTAGGGGTACTGAATTGGAGATAGATCGTTCTCTGGTTCAGGTCAAAATTTTGATCTGTACATGAATGACTGATTTTTGCTGGTTTTATCAAGGGGTATTAGAACATCAAACTTTTACTTATCAGCATTTTGCAGTATTTATTTTAGATTTTTGTTCGTAAATCATCAACTAACATAAGCCAAACATTGAATTCTTAATGTTGACTTAAGTTACACCTCATTGTAATTAAGTCACCATATTTTATTATTATTTATTTACTTATTTTATGAACAAACATAGTTTAGAATGCTTTCATACTTGCAAATATAGAGTGTAACTGTTGACACAAGTTACATAATCTCAAAATTAGACGCTTTGACTAATTCTTGAAAAAAAAGGTAATATGGAATTGATACTTATTATCTTTTCAGATTTTAAAATAGCTTACGATTGTATTAAAACGAATAAGCTTTCTAGCAATGTTTGAAATCCTGTCTAAATTTATTAATCTTATCGGAATAATGTTACGAAGAGTTAGTTCAAGCTCATGAATCGGAAGTTTTCTAAACAGAGACTATCGTGCATTTTAATTGCCCTTGAAAAGAAGGATTAACATTAATGGCGCCATTTTCAGAGATCTTTTGCAATTAGCAGCACGTGCAGACTATATACAAAACAAAGAACATTAAAAAAATTTATTATTTTAAAGAAATCTGTCAAGGATTTGGCAATGAGCGAGGAAAAACGAAATTTATGGTAGTAAAACCTCTCTGAATTCGTACTTTTGAAGGGTCACACAGTTTAAGTATCTGGGCACATTCATTACTAGAGCTAATGATGTTTAAAACTGTGGTTAGGAGATTATTTTTGACGGCAAATTTATCTTATTTTGGTCTAAGGAACCAATTGAAGTTAAAATTCATCGCTATGAGTACTAAAATAAATTTGAATGAAAGCTTGATTTATGTGATTTTGGATACATTATCGAGCAAATTAATTTACTTTCATGCATGCAAAATTTTTGAAAATTGGTAAAAAAATCAAGATAACCATTCAACAACTGCAATTTCCAAAAAAAATATGTTTAAAATCGGAGGAAGAGGGAATATGCCATATATTGTTGTAATTTGCATCAAATCATACCTAACTTAGGAAGAAGAAAAAACAAAAAAACATTGAACTAAAATAAATACGTAACTAAATAACCAGCCACATTTTCAACTCAGACTTAAGCATTTGAATAAATATTATATGTAATGTGAGTAACAAACTGATTTGGAGCAATGAATTTGTTTTAGGTAAGTTGCTAAAATAGTTAAACATCATTTTCAATTTTCTTACCATTTGTCTAGAAACGTATTTTATAATTCTATATGATTTCAAAAAATATTAAGGATATTTTACAAAATAAAAGTTCTTTTTTTAGTCATTTATCATTATTATCTTGTTTGTATTTCTTATTCTTTCAGTGATTTGGAAATGATTTAACTGCAATTTATAATTAAACCGTATGTATATGTATGGATAGAGATTTAGAAATCAATATTATATGATATAATTGGATTATGCTTCAAAGTAATGCGTCATTGAAATGACGCCTAAAGAAGTAGTTTGTGATTAGTTTATTTTTGCTGACAAAGAGAATGAAAAATGCTTGAGTAAGAGAAATGTATTCCCCTTTGAATCAAAGATTTGAAAGAGATTTAGAATCTAGTATAGTGTCTTTTTTTAATTTAACATCTTTTTAATTTAATATCTAACTAATTTAGTATCTTTGAAATTTAGAAATCAATACTATATGATATAATTGGATTTCTTTAATGAAAGAAGATATCTTTAGGAGGAAAACCTTTCATTATAGCCATACCTAGTATAAAAACAGTCAAATCCATTTACATATCTTGTAAACACAGCTTTTCAAAATCGATGTGAGTAATTCATAAGATGAATTCATAAAAGTGAATAAATTTTTCATGATTAATGTGTACAAAATTTGTTTAAAAATTGCTTTTGTCAAAATTGCTTTCTGTTAAACCTTCGAAAATTTTTATTTCGCTTTTGAAAGGCAACATTTATAATTTTTAATAAATTTTCAACTATAAACTAGTTTAAGTTAGTATATTTCAATTATTCATTTTATGCGATAAATAAATGGGTTAATTGGAGAGAAAAACATGATTTAATTTAAGTATGAACGGATACGTCTGGTTTTACTTGATTTTATTTAGTTTGTTGTTATTAGCGAGCATTTTTATATATAATTTCTCTTTTAGAAAGCATAGCAAAGAAATTGTTCATCATCAAAATTTTTATCTAACAAGATAATTTTTTTTATAATAACACAAATCCTTCAAAAATGCTTACCATAAACAAAAAGATTGTTTCCCAAAATATTACATTACCTTCTATTGATTATAAAAATACAATACAGAATATACAAAAATAAAAAAGTTTATTATTTCTGTAATTACTCAAATTAATGTTATGAACTCAGATTTTTCCGAAGATATCATGCTAAGGCATTCTAACAAAATACTTTAATAATAATTGGTATAAAATTTGTTAATACCGTTGAACCTCATTAACGCGAAACAGCTTAACATGAAATAACGCTTTACATAAAACACATGTTTGGTCCCGCAATCAATTATTGTTGTATTTTACATGTTTAACATGGAATTTCCTAACTGATTATCGCTTAACATGAAACGAAACTGGATACAGCACAGATAATAGGTATAGTATAATACGGTATAATATGTTATAAATAATTAGGTATAGTATGTTATAATTATAATACCTGACCGAGTTATTGTAATGAATGATGAATAAAATCCATTCATTTTGAGGAATGCTATTTCTATTTTCTTTCGCTGTTAGAAGTAGCAGATGGGTAAATGAAATAGTTAAAACAAAATAGTTTAATAAAGTAGTTAAAGCTTATTTTAATTTGATAGTTCTTAATAGAATTGTTTGCATATATTAATGTAGTACATAACATGTATTAATAGTACGAAATAAATTGTTTTCATGATGTATAGGATAAAACAAAATTCGGTTAACATGAAATAATTATGATAGTCCTGCCGATTTCACGTTAACGAGGTTTGACTGTACTAGTTTAATAGGCGATTTTCACAACTACATGTATTTTTATCTAAATGTCAGATCGACATGAAATATATTCTGATTCTTTAGCAAACCCAAAGTATTTGTTTTCTAAAAAAATTTAAACTTCACAATGTAGAATATTGGCAAATGACGTGTAAACATGTAAATCATTTTAAAGTAATTAATGTTTTTCACGTAGCTGATGTTTTAGTCTTCAGTCTCATATAAAGAATCATATTAATTTTGAAAATTGAACTCAGCCTATTCAATTTATTTTTAACAATTTTGTTTCATCGAATTATTGATCTATTTTATTTTAAAGGAAACAATTATACAATATATAGAAAAACTTTAGTTTAAAATATTTTTAGTATGTCATCCTGTGTTATGTGATTTATTTTCAGACCAATATTTCACCTTAAGATTCTTTATTAAAAATCTATAAAAAAAAGAATATGTTTATTTTTCAAAGAATTTTACATTTAGTACTTACAAAGCACATTTATAATAAAAATTATGTACACATACTTCATTAAACGGGTATCAAAAATTTGTATATTTATATTAAGTAGTAAAATGGTATCTATAAACATATAAATTATCTATAAACATATTAAAGACATATAGAATTAAACCTGAACTTACTCAGTTAAGTCTATATTTTAAGTTAGCAATTTGAATGTTATTGTTTTATTTTTTCTTGGATAATAAATGTATTTACTACCATTTCTTGCATTTTTAATGATCAATTTTGAATATTTTTAATGCAAAATTTACAAGAAAATACGATAAAGTAAATAAAAAAGAATCAATAAAGTATTGTAGAATTAGAATTGTCTAGAACTAAACAATAAATTTCTCAATCAATCAATTCAATCAGCCAATTTATGGTAAATAAAATGGTAAATAAATTAAATAATAATATGATGAAATGGTGAAGATCAATATATATATATATATATTACTTTATCGATNATATATATATATGTATGGTGATCAATAATATGGTGAATAAATTTGATAACCAAGTTCAATAATACTATTCGTTTTTAAAATGGTACTAAATCTGGAAATCATTTTTGATTTTTAAAAAATATTGATCAAAATAATTTTCATCAATGACACAAATAAATTTCTTGAAACGTAGATAATATTTCATAAAAATCTGTTATACAAATTGGGTGTTTTGATTTGAAAAGTAGTTTAAAATACTTAATTAAGCCACAATAAAATAATTTAACAGTTCAAAGCAAGTATGAAGAACAGTTCATAGAAAATAATTAAAAAAATCACAAAACTATAGAAACAACTAAGTAAAAACAATAACAGAATAAATAAAATCGTTCACAAAGAACACATAAAAGAAATGATTATGAATGTATGAGTATGTTTTTGCCATTTACGAACTATTGTATGGTTTTAAATGAAAAAATACTGTACAAGAATAAATACTTACATAGTAAATGAATATTTAAAAATCCTTAGTTCTTTACAAGCTAAAGATAAAATTAAAATAGGAATTCTAATTGTAATTTTGAAAAGCAAAATTTTCAAAAAACAGAAATTAAAACTTTATAGAGAGCACTCCTAGAAAATAAATTATTTAAATACTGTTCACTCTATTGTTTCATAAGAATTTTTATCACTTTTAAAACATCTAAGGCCGTAACATTCTTTAGCTTCTCTTAGAGCTGTTCGCAGGAGGGATAATAGAGCACACAAGTCTGCAAACATCATCATATAGAAAACATAGGCCCATGATGTTTCAGACACTAAGCCAGCAAGCAATGGGCCAAGTGCGGCACCCACTGATCCTGTACCATCTATAATAGCTGTAACTGTCGATAAAGCTTTGGAGTTGCTTTTAATACTTTTGTGAGTTCCTAACTCTGTAGCGACAGCTGTAGTAATTAGTGCATAAGGTCCATTCACTAATGCACCACAAATCACTTGTAAAATAATGTTAGTGACTTTATTTACACTTCCATAAGCTTGAAAAATAAAGAGTGAAGGAACAGCTAGCCCAAGAAATCCTACACAAGTTAATGCACTGGCACCCGTGTGATCTGAAATTATACCAGCAATGACGCCACCAAGAATGCCACCAACATCAAAAGCTATGGACATGAAGGCAGATGCTTGCGATCCTGCACCAGTTGCAGCATCCAGGTATCTCGGCAACCAAAATAGAAAAGTATAGCTTACTAATTTTGAAAAGAATAAGCTCAAAGAGAATTCAATGACCCCTGGAATTTTGACTGCTTCCCAAAAAGTGATAGCTTTTTTGTTTCTATGTCGGTTTTGTTCATCCTGTCCCAAAGATGCTTCATTTACCTCAATACTCATGCTCTCTGATCTCATAGAAGATTCAGGCTTAAGAAGTGGATTTTGTGTGGGGTCTCCTTGTTTGCTAGTTTCATGATGACTTGCGCAGTCTACCACCTCTGGATGTGGTACAAGGAACAAAAACATTACAAATCCACAGAATCCAACAATAGCTGATGGTACAATGAATGATAATCCCCAGTTGTAAGCTACAAAATGGCCGGCAACAAATGCTCCTAGAATGTTGCCTACGTATAAATGAGCATTCCAGATTCCAAATATAAGTCCCCTTCTTGCTTTACCAAACCAATTGCCGACGCAAGAAACTACTCCTGGCCAACCTGTGCATTGTACAGCGCCTCCAAGTATTTGAACAATTACGAAGAAAGCGAAGCTGTGAATGTTTAAATAGAATGCCAAACCAAATAAGTAAGTAAAAATTCCACTAAAAAGCATTCCGAGAGCTAAATAATATCGTAAATCAATTCTTTCCGCTAACATTCCACTTACAAACATGCATACTGCATATGCAAAAACATAAACAGCATCAAGAACTCCTAAAAGTCTGTTAGCATTACTTTGATCAAAAGGAGCCCAATCACACCAATTATCTCTAGTATTATTATTAATAATCACTCCTGGAGGTGGTGTCAGACGAGAGCAGTCTTGATTCAGGGAATTTTTGACAATTGCAAGAGGCCGTCTTGACATATGATAAGCGGTATAAGCTATGAAAGTCAGACATAAGACACTTGTTTGATAGACTTTACGTCGATATTTACCAAGGGTGAAGAATCTTTGCAAAAACACCACTCCAACTGGCCTTCCTCTAGATATTCTCTTTTTCATTATAGCAGCTGAATACTGAAAGAAGTAATGACTAGATTGTATTCCAGGTGAAAGAGGACATTTTATTTATCATTCCTATCTTATCTTAAGTTCAAACTCCATTGTGAAGTCACTTATCGAGTTGTTATCAATTTCAAAAGCCAATCCTTCTTTATTTCATTACTAACTAGTTTAAAAGTGTTTGGATATGCAAAATCTTGGCTTTTTTCAAATTCAATAAAAGTTTCATGACTAAAATTTTTGGGAAAATTTAATTATTGAAATAATGGGTATGATTTTGAGCTCAATTTAATTATATATATATATATATATATTGAATTTTCAATTATAAAAAATAAAATTTAAATCTAACTCTATTAAATCATAAATTTCATTTTAAATTTTAAAGAAATTATTTTTTTAATTTTTGACTTAATGGTTTATTTACTAACTTCTAATTTAACTTATAAATGGCTTTTTTTTAAAAATAGTTTAAATAATGTAGAGTTTAAAAGTAGAAGAATAATTTTATGTATTTAATGTTTAAAATTATGAATATAAAGTGTACGTTATTAAGAATGTCTTTAATTTAAAAAAAAAATACTTACAATACTAATATGGAAAATTTAAAAAATACAAATATTTACAAATACACATTGTATAAGCTTAATATTGAATATACTTACATTATTCTGCATAGATAATTATGTTTTTTGAATTTCTTCAAAATTTTTAAATATTTAGATGCAAAGGTCAATATTGCTAATAATCAAAGGTCTTACAATGCAAATATGTTACAAAATGAATTGTGTTTTTTAACAGCAATATTGTACACTAGTAAATAATACTGAACATTTTGTACATTAGCATTGAGCAATAAGCTAAAAATAAATCTGGGTATTATGAATCAGTCAGTAATAAAACAAATAATGTCAATATTCTCCTAAAAATGTCTTTTATTATTCCAAATAGAAATCTGCACATCCTCTTAGTTGAGTTTGAGAATAAAGAGAAGACCATGTAATGCAACTTAATATTTTATTTAGATTTTTTAAAAATTTACTAATGTTTTGTTGATTTATTATTTATATAGTTTAGTTTGTTATGAAAACTGATTTTTTCAATAATTTTTAAAATATAATAAAAATATTTCCGTAATTTATTCGAGTTAGTATGAACTAATATAGGTCCCGCCAATTTTCTCCAATTATTTATAATTTGATTATTTGAATTGAATTCTTATGTAATTGATGATTGATAAGTTAATTATTTGAAATGAAGATTTTCTGAATTGCTTCATGAAGTTATATTGTCAAATAGTTATTCTCAGGTTTGATCTCATACCTTTCTTGTTTAAGTGAACTGACTCAGAATATAGTTTCTAATTCTATATATAAGATTTAAACCATATGCTGCTGTTGTCGTCGTAGGCATTTAAGGCAAGGAGTGCGATTGTCTTTGTTTTCCAGTGGCGCCATCAATGGCTAAGAATTCTACTTCTGCCACACCCATACGTCACTCCTGTTTATGGAGCGGACCCGTTCATACACCCATTCCACAGATCGTAATTTCGACCTGAACTAGAGAGAACAATTAATCTCCAAATCAGTACTTTCGGAGGTATAATTTGCCATGGAAATATGGAGGAGTTTGTGACCTGATAGATTTAACGTGTACCGGTCACCATTTACTACACGGGGAGTCTTCGGCCGGCTGGATTCGATTTGAACTCCCGTGAGTCCAGTTTTCAGCCAACCAGGCTATCCTGGCCCCATTTAAACCATATGTAATCAGTCAATATTTAAAGTCCTATAAAAAGTTGTTTGAAAAGTCTAAATTATAGGCGAAGGAGGATACCTGAAGATTCACAAATATTGTCAGCTCTACTTTTAAATTTATTTATTGAGTTTTACCATTTTAGATAATAGGCAAAAATTGCTGATGATAATTTTTGACCGATTATTTAATAGCTAATAATCCAAACAGCAACCAAATGAAATGCTAATAAGTTTTTCTGTAAAATTTAATATGCCTACAATATTAGAAGTTTCAAATTTTGTGTTTTAGAAACGCTAAGTAATGGAAGTAAAAAAAAATTTTTTTTTGTTTTGTTTATTGATGCTCTTTTCGAACAAGGTGGACATAAAAAGTTCCTCTACTGCTATTAATTCTCTTTTCGCATAATTATTTATGATTTATTCTTTTCATGGAAAGACAATGAAAAATTTATGCATTTAGAAATATAGCTTACAGAATCATATAGCTTGAAAAATTAACGCATATTACGTTTCAAAAAATTAGCAATTTGCACACTAAAGTAAAATAATTAAAAATTAACTAGTATTTGAAGTAGCTTTTTTAATTTTTTTTTCACTTAAAGGATGTATCTAGAAAGTATGGGGACGAATGAGTTATTCAAGAAAAACAGCACTTGATTATTAAAGTGCAGTGAAACAGAAAGCATCATTTTTATCTCTAGCAAATCCAGCCGCAACCTGGGACCCCTAAACTTGCAGCCTTCGAACATGGACGGTGACGTCACTGTTCCCCGGAGTCAATTCTATACCCCCCTCCGATAGTAAAACAAAATCCTAACCTCGCAACCCCGGAAGAGAGCGGTGAAGGGAATCCCAGCCCTCGAACAAAGGTACGGACCCTCCCCCTAGGAAGTGACGTTTTGTATCGATAGTTATAAGAAAGTGACCAATGGCTTTTGTTTATCCTTTAATCGTTCTCCTTTCGTTTGGGGGTCGTGACCTCTTTCCCAGAGTTCACAGCGTTCTTTCAGAAAGGGAATCCATTCTTCTTTCATTTTGACAATTAAGTTATCTTTGATCTTCTTCAAGAATTTAATATGCAGTATTTGTTTTAAACTTGTTTGCATTATTGCATTTATTATTAGAGAATCGATTCACTTATTACTACATTTACTAACAGTTTGCGATAAAAAGAAATATTCTTAAAATAAAAAATAACATCAGATTACAAATCAAATACATCTTTATTTATCACCTTTTTTAAAAATCATACTTTGAATGTTTTTTTCAATAAATGTAATTGATTCATTCAGAAATTTCATCACTAGATTATGAGCTTTTAGATTTAATGAACTAATGATTAATTATTTTATTTGACAAAATTTTTTAACTTTCTATTTTTATTTATTTTATTATTTATAAAAATTTTATTATATTTATGATTATTTTATTACCTTCTATTACTTAATTTTTTTTTATTATATTTGCAATAGATAAAATGCGTAGCTTTATACCACTAAAATCTTTTAGTTTTAAAGCTACAATAAGTATCAAAATAACGTGCGATATATAAGCTTTAGAAATAAACTTTAAATTAGCATTTTTTAAATAACTGTTAGTTTAAATAATCAGAAAAATTTGCATTAAAATTTAAAAAAAAAAAACTGCCTTTTAAATTTTTTACTTTCGTTTTTGTTATGACTCTTTTTTTTTCGCAATTGCAAACTTATTCATTTTAATACACAGAATTGTGCGTTAGTTTTTCAAAAAACATTATTTTCCTCTCTTTTATAATATTTTTTTTAATAAATTACAATTAGCAACACAAACAGTGCAATATTTTTTTTCAAATTTAATAATTTATCTCTTTTTAGGAAATGGCATTTTCAATCGTTGTGTTATATTGAACTAGAGTTGGAAAAAAATTCTCTGCAATTAATTTTTTGCCTTTTATTACCCCCATACATTAAATCCAACTCAGAAGACAAGGATGCCAAGCACTCGTACTTTTTTTAAGAATTTCATGCTAGAGTTTTTAGTTACACAATTTCAATGTTGTCGTTCTAACCATAAGGGTAATTCATGATTTTTTTTTATATTACAAATTCGTGTTTGAAGTTTAACTCGTTACAAATATTTTTAATACTTTCAATTAAACACATTTTCAATTTTAAAATATCCTCAATTGTTTTTATATTTGATGCTGAATTTTATTTTTTTGCCTTATCGTTTACCATAGTGTATGCAAATAAATAATGAAAAAGTCATTCGGAAAAATATTTGTTTTATGAGCCACATAAATTTGTAAAAGACTTTTTGAATTAGAATTAATTGCATCAATCAGGATAACTTGAAATATTATTTGAATGAAACCAAAAAAACACTAGTATAATAATGACCAATGAATAAGTGTTTATTTCACTTTTTGCGCTTTAGGTCATACCTTTGAAACTAATTGCAACCCATCATGGAACTTCTTTACTCAACGAAAATTTCATGCAAAAAATAATAATAATTTTTAGTATTTATTTATTTAATTTAATGCTGTACGACGTATATAATTTACGTATTTTTCTATAGTGAAATCTTAAGTTTCAATTGTTTTTATTGAGTAGAAACTGATAAAAGTTAAAATTAATTATTTCAAAAAAATATTTGGTGACATTGAAAAAAATATTTAATATTTATGCCTAAATTTGGTAAACTTAAAGGAATTTGACTTACGCAAGCCTAGCGTAAATTTCATTCATGATTTCTTGTTGCTTTGATTCGATATCATTTTCTTTTTTAATTATAAAATATGATGTTTTTTTTTAAGATGTCTGGTAATTTATACTTAATTTCGTAAAGCAGTCAACACGTAACTAAAATTTTTAAGTGTCTTAAAATATCACAGTATCTAATATATCGTCCTAACATCTTAATACACCAAATACCAATAATGAAAAATTGTAAAGAGTTTCAAAACGCATGTAATTTTTAGAATCATCATATGATTTGAAATATGAAATAAAGTATTCCCAATTTTTGAACATTTTTTGATAAAAAAAAAAAAAAAAATTGCGCAGTGAGAGGGTTAACATGCTTTTTACAGAAATTATGAATACAAATTTTTCCTCATAAGAGGATAATAATGATATAGCTCCAAGGAACCGTCTCAATAATTTTCACAACTGAAATCTGTTTGAACAAAACATATTATTGCTTGAAAGCATTAATTTGTTGATAGAGGTATTAAGGATATGCGTTGGAAGCTCCGTTTACTATCATACTACTGAAGCATTAAATCATATATCTTGAACAATTTATTCTAAG